CCCCCAGCGACAGCACAATGAACGCTGAGCTGGAAAGTCTGCTCTCCGCCGAGACCGCAAAGGAGCGTGAAGTGAAGCGTGTCAATGACGAGATTATGGAACTACTGAGCACCCCGTCTGTCATGGTAAAACTAACACTGCCTCTTAAAAATCCTGCGTTTTTTGCAACTTAAACAGTTACTTACAACCCAATAGTAGTTGTGTTTTAGTTAATATTTCGTCGCGTGGTCAAGTCCACTGATGGCAGCTAATGGGGGTAGAGAACATATATTCATAGTTTCATGCGTCTTTGTGCTATTTCTCTCGACGCAATGTCAACTCTGCCCCCCTCCCCCCAATGTGTTTGGTATACTGACTGTTTCGCAAATTCCCTACTTCCTTTTAGGAAAGAGTTGTCACGGAAAAGTTCAAATCCCAAGGAGGTATGCGCCCCCGATAGGGGTTGACTGTTGCCCTTTTTGTCTGAAAGTTTTTTGTGCTTTCAACGTTCATCTATCTTTCTGTCCAACTTCTTTTTGTAGGCAGCCAAGTGCAACTGTTTTGCCTACACGGCACTCGCGCCGACTGCATCAGCCACGGTAACAATCAAGGTTGTACAAAACTACATTTCCGGAAGATTATTCATCCACACACTGACGGTAAGTGTTTTGATAGGGACTGCAACCCCATCTGAGATCTAGATTTCTTTTTAACCTTAAGTGCTAAGTGCGTACTACTCAAGCATGAATGACCTTTTTTGTGACTGGTAAATTTCAAGTCTATAGCTCAGTTCTGTGCAGTTTTGTTGGAGACAAAGAGTAAGCGTAAGTCTTTGAGCTCCTCGTCTTCTAAGATGTTAAATAAAATTTTACAAACACGAAAGAGGTAGGGGAAGGACAGAAAACATGGGGTACAGAGTTTTTTGTCTTCTCAAGAAGTAATCAGATCACATTCATTTGGTTTTAAATCAACTCTGAAGGATTTTGTATTTTTCACTGTTCACTAACCGTCTTTCCTATCGAACTACCTATTTTATAAAACTGTAA